TTTACAATCTCTCAAATAATACGTGCACCCTGTTGATAATATCTTTGTAATATAATATGGTCCTTTGTACTTGGTGTACAATTTAGAACTTAATCCTTTAGGTGTCATTGGTGTATATATCCAAACTCTATCACCTACTTTATAAATCGGTTGCTTTGAATTAAGCTCATACCTTGCTTTATACTGTTTCTGAGCTACTTCCCTATTCTTTGTTGCAATTTCTTTTGCCGTTTTAAGGGTGTCTTTTAATTCTTCAATGTACTGAGGTAGATCTTTATTCTCATGAGATTCAGGGATCAAACCACTTTCTAATCGTGGGAGTGGCCAGTGCATGGGTTTTGTGACTTTATTCAACTTCCGGTAATCAATTGCTAATCTATATTCTCCGTTTTTCTTTTTTACTAGTACCACTGGACTACTGTACTCACTCATGCTTTCTTCGATTATGCCATGTTTTAACATATCGTCTACTTGTTTGACAATTTCATCTTTCAACTTTGGTGACGTACGATAACATGTTTGTTTCACAGGGATATAATTTATTGTGTCAATTCTATGTTTATACATATTTGCTGAACCTAACTCTGAGATATTGGTAGCAAAAACATCGCGATTACGGCCTAACAAGATTTCCAACTGTTGCTTCTGCTCTTCACTCATGTCTGAATCGGCAAAGTTTATATTTAATTCATCTGCATTCCGCAATGCTTCTTGATCTGATAACCTATCACCTTTTTGTGCTGTGTCTCCCTTTGACATTTCATTTAAAGCACTGACGCTTGCCAGACTCACTGAACTCGCAATAGCTAGTATTGTTCTTTTGGGGATAAAAAATACTTTCATCGCTAGGATTCATTATTCTGTAAGCAGATTTGTTTTTATCAATTGTAACCAAACATTTAGCTCCGATAAGTTTTTTCTTGGACTCAAGATTTCGCACTGGCTCTAATAAAGCCACGGAGACAGATGATGAATGTGATATTTTGACTGGAATCAAACATTCACATCTAGGCGGAATAAATTCGGATTTAAAGTTACGTACTAAACCTAATACAGGTGGACTATACAAGGGTAAGAGCAAATCATAATCAGGCAGTGTCATGCTATCAGACGATAAGTCAATTTTCACATTGTGTTTTCTTAGGAAATCTGTGCCTAATATCAAACTTCTTGGCAACTGACTAAATACGTGGACTTTATGCTTTATGATCACATTACCAAAACAAAGAGGTAACTCTACTTTTCCCAGAACTTTAATCACAGAACCATCAACAACTGAAACTTCTTTTAATGACTTTTTTCGTATGAATTTCGATCCCTTTTTCCTAATTTTGATAAGAAAGATTCCGATACACAAGATATGACTGCACCTGTGTCAACCAAAGCATTGACATGTTGTTTGTCGATTTGAATTGATATCAGATTATTAGCTTGGTAATCGGAAATAATAGAAATTGGAACTTTTCTATCTTCAATCTTGTTATAAAACCTTTTTCTTTTTCTTAGCCGTTTGTTTACACGTGCAGAATGACAGACATTTTCTATGTGTCCTATTTTACCACAACAATTACAGTTAAAATTGCGAGCACAACAATAAGGTCTAAGATGCGTGTACTCACCACATCCCTGACATATTGGCCATTTTCTTTATCGGTTTGCTCTGTTGAGGATAGCTCGGACGTTCGGATGGTGGTGATTTGTGATCTGGGCGACGCAGATAAATGTTTCGCTGGAGCATACGTCTTGGGCCGTTGGCGTTGTGCCAGAACCTTTTGGGAGACGCAAAAGGGCTCGCTTTTGGGGGTGCCAAGTTTCTTTCATCGCTAGTCAGCTTTGGGTTTTGTACCATATGGATCGCCGACTGTACGCTGGTACGCACGGCATCACTGATGGAGTTCTGCAACGTGTCTATTTTTTCTGTTATGATCTTTATATCAGTCCGTTTGTTCCTTTTGGTCGGCTGCACCGCATTTTCCGCGATGCGCGCATGGTGCATTAGTGACTCAAAATCTGATGGCTCCCTCTGCACTACAAAGGGGCGGATCTCGGGGAGTATCCCGTTTATAATCACCGTAAGGGCCGTTCCCTCATCTTAACGCGCACGTTTGGCGTCGTGGCGCATTGCCTCAATGTAGTTCTGCGCCGTTTCTTCTGGCAGCTGATGCCGTTTAAAAAATTCTGAAGCTCTCGCCCACGCTTCTCCGTCTCTCGGTTGGTACCTTGCACGGAACTCGCGGACGAGCAATTCCCAATTTTTCTGCACTGTAGCTGGTAACAACTCATACCAGTCTATGGCCGATTGCTTAAACAACAGAGGAAACAAGGCGGTATGTTGGACTTCTTCTAATTTTTTATACAGTGTATAGATTTCAAACTGCTTTAGCCACCTTTCGATATCTTCGTTTCCGTTACCAGAAAACTTTTCTGGCGCCAAAGATAAATCTGAGGACATCTTCGTCTTTTTTCAGTTCTTAATTGTTGCTAGGGTAATGACTTATGACTGGTTATTTTCATTACTCAGCATACTCGGTTTCCTCTGCGCTGAGACACTGACGATGTTTGCCTCTGGGTGGATGGTGTGAACCCTTCGGTGTCTACGCTCCTACTGCCATCATCACTATAACTTTATCACCGTTCCGCTTGCCTCGGTAGAGCGGGGATTGACTTTTTTTTCCTCCACCACTTGTTATAGTGAGGAATGACGACAACAGTTTGGAGCTTTCGAACGTTTATTCACCGACTCCTTTTTCACAGAATGTACAAGTATTTATATTCTATTTTCCATTCTCAAATTTCCCATTCTCATATTACAAAACTATATTCAATATTTCCTAATTTAGTAATTTAAATGAGACTTGTTTATGATTTAAAATATTTAAAATATTTCCCAAATTACTCATCTTGGATCTTGTCCAACTCAAGTATGCATGAGTTCTACACGTGTTAAACACGCGCAAATCGATAGAAAAATCAACCAATCAGATCCAACTATATCGGACTCTGAAACGTTTCACCCAATTGTCGAAAGTGTCATTTGCTTTACAACAATAGTTTAGTGAGCCCTTCACAGACGATTGATGACAATTGCCGCAACTTTATTAGAAACTCTTTTCGCTGTCCTTGGACTTGGGGCCTTAGCCGTAACTTTAAATCTTATCTGGTCAGCGGTTGCCCAACATTGACAAATAATGCGGAACTCCTCTTTGTTGTAATTGATACATTATATTAACTTTTTTTCTCAATCAAAAAATAACATTATGAAGTAACTTATTAAATGGCAGGAGGGATTAACTTGAGTGTACTATATCAAATTAAGTTTGTGTCTAAACATATCTACGTAAATGCAGTATTCTTTTTAAGCATGTGTTGCTGTAGATAGTTTATATTTGCAGTATTAAAAGTTATCTATGTAGTTTACCCTTTTGTCTCATGACATAAATTATTGTTTACGTTCGCAACCAAGCACCAGTTTCAACACCGTATCTTCCGCCTGGATTATGTGCTTGTTTTTAGTCAGAACCTGACTGGAATGCTTGCCTTCATATCACATCATACTTTTTTCTATACCTTTTCTCCTTATTGTAGGTTTTTATATATGAAGCGAAAGCAAATGAAAACATTAAACAGTAATGATACTGCTCCCCTTTTATTTAGTTAAATGATGCGTTCAGAAATAATTTACTGAAACAGAAACAGTCTTTTTGGCTTCGAAATTCTAAGAGATCTTAAGACTACCTACCTCCCACGCCTCAGTAATTGGAATTTTAATTAATTAGAATTTTAATTTTAAAAACCGTTCGGTCAATTTACATGGAGTCTTCAAATATTCACCGTCTCAAAAATATCCCTAATTTCTATTAAATAATGTGACAAGACCCTCATTTCGAACCTATTTTTAAGTGTGAACTTTCAATCTTCCGCTTTGACATTATAAAGGAGTTTAAAATCCGAGTTACTATTGAGTGTAAAATCCGCTTTAGAAACCAGTTCACTGGGGTCGCCTTGTATAACCATTATCATACATATGATTGTTAGTCGTGTAAAAACTATGAGCTTTTTATCACTGAAAACAAAATTACCAAACCAACAAATGTGCGCGTTCACACACACACATTCACACACACACACGCACGCACACATAGAGCAGTGCATTACATTCATATCAGCGGACTAACATATCCGAGGATAAAATATTGCGACCCACTAAAAAGTTTGCCGCTTAATTCCCAATTTAACACTATCACTATATATTCCCGGCGGGTATTACGCAACAAGCATCCGAGTGGGTCGGCCATATTTGATCCGCGGATCTGTTAGTTCTCTGTTCTGAATGCTGCCACACAGCACACACTAGACCTATTTAGCGTACCTGAGGCGTCCATGCACTCGAAATTAATAAACTGAGATATGCATAGAACCTATTAATTTTCCAAACACCTTTTGTCTCTTCTTATCCCACCAGTTACGTCAAACATTTCTTATCAGTAGACCCATCAGATTGTTCCTGGTGCCCTGTTTACTGCAAACACGGATATTATAGAAAGTATAGAACAAATGACAGTTAATATCTGTGAAGCAAATACTGCAAATACCATAAAAATGCCCTTTTCTTGGAAGGCGATTATGGAGAATTTGTTGGGAATTCTCTGATAGAAGGTAGGTAGGCAAAGCGGATTTGGGCGAGTCCATTCTTCAGGGGGGCACAGACTACTTATCAAAATTGTTTCTAAAATTCGACGTGTGTTGCTTTCAACTTTTAACAAAAGCAGTGTATGCTATGGGATTTTAAGAAGCATAACATTCAATTTCAAAACGAAAAAGTTCATTTTGGTAAAAAGTAATATAATTTATTTCAAATATTTCCAAACGTGAATCCCTTCGAGTAAAGTCGAGGGTGAATCACATTGTGTGTACTGTGGTTGCTACACATGAAAGTTGACCTTTATGACGACACCGTTAACCTCTGTCTGGTATTTATAAAAGTGATATCGCATGGGTCTTTGTATTTCAAATTGCGATATAGTTTTAGACAATCTTAAGCAGATTGACAATAGAACAAAATGGACAAGACAATTGTATTTTTGTGTGTCATCGGGTTAATTTTGCTGACCATAGGTGAAAGTGAAGGTACGTTAACTTCTTTTGAAAAACGTACAGTAAAAGCATATATTAAGATTTAATCAAACATTTATTTCGGAGGTGTATCAAGTTTGTTTCATGTTTGTTTTTCCCCTAGGCTATTTTTTATCGATTTCATTATGATAATAATTTCTGCAGATATAAATTTGAGAAGAAAATAATAAGCCTATTTTTATGTTCTTGTCAACTCTTGGACAGTCTGGAGATTCTGTATGCTTGATCTGTATATAAGTCATAACTGATATATAAAAACAAGGCAGCAAAGCTGTCAAAAGTACAGACAAAAAACAGAAAATCATTGCAGTTTGTCAGATTCAATCATCCACTATGTTCAGGATCTCAGAATGGAGGAAATTGGACATTTAACACTGTTCTATTGATATTTTTCCCATCTCATCAATTTTCTTAATTGGTCATGGCAGTAAACTGTTAATTTTGTTTTATGTTAAAAAAGTGTTAAAATTGGAAATAAACCCATTTCAGAAAAGAGCTGTCTTGTTTACATTTTGGCATTTTCAAGATGTGACTTTGAAGTTCCTTGGTCCTGAAGACCTTTGCTAGTCACATTTTCTGAATATCCATGATACTAATATTTTATTATTAAAAATTGATGGTCATTATGCTGTTAAACATTATGTAATATTGCATCAAAATTTGAAGAAACCCCTATTTTGGGCACTGCTCCCATGATGACCATTTAAGGAAAATCATGTCACTCACTGTTCTCAAACTTACAGGAAAGAAACATGGGGCTAAAATATAGCTTCAGTAGGCAATGCAGTCTGTTTGGTAAATTTTTCTGGCAATTAAACATTTTTTTGTGAAAATTTAATTTTTCACTTAGGCCTCACTTTTTTTTTATTTTTATGGATGACATCCTCTGTGGACCCCAAAATCGGTGCGAGCGGGCGAAAAAAAAAAACAGTCCAAAAAAAAAACTGCTTAAGAAACACTAATTTACCACAGAAACACGTATTAAACTAACAACATGTATTTATCCATACTCTCAAATTATTAATGCATTGTGAATAGGGCCTAAATCGTAGAAAGGTAAAAAGTCATGAATATATATGCTGCATATTACCAAATCTATTTAAGGTTATTTCATGCATTCTGTTGGTATAGCAATCAATAAAACTAATATCAAATAAACATCGTGTCTTTATTTGTACTCTCAGAAAATTAGAGCATGGTAAACACTTCACAGAATTGTTAAAAAATGAAGCAAAGATAGGCCTATGCTTCCTACTACCAAATCTAAAAAAGGTAATTTCGGTCGATGCCATTTTGTCTTCTTCGACTCACACTTAGCAGCCAACTATCGGGTGGCCTGTCTGACCTTCAGTCCACCAAATACCACGACGCTCTTTTTGACCCTTTTTTTGCTACAAAAAAAAAAACCCTGGTAGGGGGCCTATGTGCTGCTTTGGACAGAATGTCACTGAATTTTTCCGGGCGATGATCGCTGGCCGCGGCCAGCCTTTCGTATAATTGTAAAAGGTTGATATCTCCATGTCCAATATCAATGGCAAACCAATCCAAAACGACGTCCCCCGTTCTATTTATGACTTTAATTGTCATGTATTTTGAAATTAATTTGACGGCAAAGCGGCCATATTTCCACATGGTGATAATACGCATGCGCAGAAAGCTTATTTTCCGCACTCGGATGTCTCCGCAGTCGACAATGCCAGTATGGAACCTGCGGAATTAGCCGAGGATTGTCATTATTGCATTTTCCGGCAAAATAACGACGTTTGCGACAACCGACTTCCTTGGGGGGAGGGCATTTTTTTTTTTTATTGGGGAGAACAGACGAAAATCGGTGCGCGCGCAGGATGTTATCCATAAAAATAAAAAAGTGTGGTCTTATTGGCATTTTCAAGGTGTGACTAAGAACCTCCACGGGCTTGAAGACCTTTGCTAGTCACATTTTCTGAATATCCATGATACTAATATTTAATTACTAAAATTGATGGCCATTATGCTGTTAAACATTTTGTAAAGTTGCATCACAATAGAAGAAAACACAATTTTTGGTGTTGCTGCCATGATGACCATTATGGGAAAACCATGTTACTTATGACTGTCAAACTTTCAAAAAAGAAACACAGGACTAAAATGCAGCCTGAGTAGGAAATCAGTCTAATTAGCTTCTTTTTCTGTAAGTTATACATTTTAGTTAAATATTCATTATTATCTTTTTGGCATATTCATTGTGGGACTCAGAACTCCCATGGACATGAAGCCGAATGGTTATCAAATTTCTACATGTCCTTGCTATTTATAGTCAATAAACAAAAATTGGTGAAAATTATTCTATAATTTATTATGTTATGTTACAAAATTGACAAAAATCTTTTTGCACTGCTACTGCAAACATTATGAAAAGAAAACTGTGTTACTTATTATTATTTTTAACATACAAGTATGATTTTTAGGATTGGCATTCAGTTCAAATTAGAAAGCCAGGTCAATTGGTGAATTCTTTTATTAGTGAATTTTGTGTGAAATTTTCATTTTTCTCATTCTGGCACTTTCAAAGTATAAACTTGAACTCTGATGGGCGTGAAGCCTTATGCTTTTACTTTCGTCAGTGTTACCTGTTGTGCATAATTAAAATTTGATATTGACTGTGCAGTTAAACATAATGTATTATTGCATCAGAATTGGTAGTCTCCTATTTTGTACATTAATGTGTTGTGCTTTTCTTAAGATGTGACTTATGGGCCTGAAAGACCTTTGAGAGGGTCAGTCTGTAAATTTCCCTTGGGTATCACTTAGCTAATTTCAGAGTTATAAAGTCATTTGCCTAATTAATAGGTCTTTAAATGAGATTACATAAAGCACACTTGGTTTAAGATCTCTGCTAGATTAATAATAAGGAAGCCAGATATATATAAACTCGAAGATTAAAAGTTTGAATAGGGGCGTTTTTACAATCCTGGGCACTTTTCAGATTTTCCCACATATTGCAAATTAATAAATTAAATACATATGATCAAAAAATTATTTTATCACTATGTTAGAGAATGGTGTAAGTGAAGATAAAAACTGAAAATAGAAACCAAATATCACCACCGAGTCCAAAGTTATGCTAAAGCAAACCCCAAAAAATGACCCAAAATTTTTCCCGTTTTAGTCATATGAAATAAAAAGCAATCTGAAATAAATTAAAACAGTGTTTGACATTGCATTTTTTTTAATTATAAAACACTCAGTAGTATGGTGGAAGCAAAAAAGTTTAAATATTAACAGGAGAGAGGTGTATCCTAGAAAAAAAAGTCTTTTAATGGCATGCTGGTATTTCCGTTAAACGAAATGTCCATTCCGAAACAAAAATAAAATACTTTCAGAAAATATAGCATAAAACATACAGTATAATTAACCATCCTAATCATTATTTGGATGTATTGGTATTGTTTGTATCAAATAATGAAATCTGCGCGATGATTCTGGACCTTGACATGGAGTGCAAAATAACCCTACCTTGTTTTTCCGTTAAATTTGTCCATTCCGAAACATTGGGTTTCTCTTACATAAAAAGAACATGTTGACACCTAGCCTGTAACAATATATATTTCTCTAAAGCCCAGGACATGTGATATTTATTTTTATATAAGAAAACCCCAGTGCACAGAAACCCATTTAACTGTGGCCTTTTTTGAGATGCTTGTTAAAAATTGTCCATTCCGAAACAAAGTACCTTTACATTGCCAATGTTATAAATAGAGAGAATTCTGTCTTTAATGCTGTATTTTTCACTTGACATAAGCAAATTACTGTTAGAGCATCATGCACATGACATAAAAATAATAGAAAAACATTTCTTCAATGGCATCTTTTTAAATTTCTATATATATCCTCAACAAAAAAATTCATTTTTGCGAGTCAGCATCTTTTCTTTGGATCTACTAGAACTTCCATTGCATATTTTCCCAAAGTTCATGTATTTAAATTAAGTTAAATTAACAATTAATTGAAGAGATTATATCAGTATAAATAGAAATATAGGCAATTTGGATGCTTTGTATCGGAAAGGACATTTTTTAACACATTGTCTAAAACACTTGTTTACTCTTTGGTCTGCTCATCTATTTATTATTCATGAGGAAGAGGATGATGGGAAGCACATCAAATTTATGTAGAATATAATTTTGAATAATATAGCTTACCTTACTTTAAATATTGCTTACTTATGATGTACATAAAAGTATTCGAAAATAGTTATGAGGCTACACATGTTAAAGTTGCGAGAGTTAACATGGTGGCACGGTTTACAGAGGCACTTGCAGTCAGACACAGGTTATAATTAACTTCCTGTGATTATTTAATATATATATATATATATATATATATATATATATATATATATATATTTTTTTTTTTCCAGACCCATCTTATTCTCCCTCAGAGCATACAAAGTGAAAATCTAAAATTGATGACTTTTGCCAGTAATTTGGATCATCATTTTTATTATTTTTTCAAGTGTGCAGAGGGCATTAACCTCCTCCCAGCCCCCCCCCAAC